GTTAAGGCTTTTGGGGATACTGGGGTGGGAGGGAGGGGTTGGTTGCTCACAGTGGGCTGAAAGTAGATGGCGCAAGACGAAGCAAAGGAGCCAGAGGAGTGCAGGAGGAGACAGTGGAAGCGTGGGTCGGCCCCTGAGACATGTACTGAGTGGATGTGGAATGACAGCACAAGCCCAATTAGTCTTAGATGCCAGGGCTGCTACAGGGAGGTCGGTGCAAGTGATCAAGCCATTCATGCATTCAAGCACTCACCCACAGGCATTCTATGCCAACAGCCTGGGTAGTTACTACAGTCTATCACTGCTTCTGCTGGACTCCTGATCGCTCTCATACTGCTGCCTCTGCTCTGCCCCCTCTTCCTTCTTTCCTTCCTTCCTCTTTCTTTCCTGAAATGTGCTGCTTCGCCCCATCCCGTTTCTTTCTCTTATTCCCCCCCCTCACTGATCTTCAGTTGCATCTGTTATCGGCCTCTCCTTTTTCTTACACGTTCACACTCGCTAACAGACTCTCTTAAGCACGTTAACACACTCTACTTGAAAGCCAGTGCCACTCCCTCTGTCCTCTTCACCCTCCCACTTGTTTCCCATCCCCAGAGCTTGAATATTACCTCATCCCACTCAGAGGCAAAGGAAGGCATGCGCTCTATGGACGGCTGCCCAGAGCTGCAGTTAGACACGGATCCACTGCGGCCAGCCAGACCTCCATCCTCCTCCCCGAGTGGTGACGCCAACAAGTCAGAGTCCGACTTGGACAAGCTTCGAATCAGCCCCAAGTCTGTAGGTCTTACTTTGACCGCTGCCACCGATGCAGACTCAGCTGAAACTTCACTGGAGTCGTTAATGTCAGCCTTTGGATTCTGGATCACCTTGGCCGGATTGGCATCCAGAGTGCACTCTGCCATTGTCTTGGGGCTGCCGAGCGCAGCTCAGGGTCCTCAGTTTCCTGCAGTATTCTTAGTCAGTCCAGAGTGTCATCCAGGATCTTTGTGGAGCTTTTTAACTTCTAGTTGTGGAAAGCCAGTCTATGATAGTACTGAAAGATACAGATTAATAAAATATAAGTACTGTAGACTTGACAAATCTGCCTGTGCACCCACTCCAACTCATACAAAGTGCTTCTTTTTGGGAGGGAAAGGGCAGCATGTGAGTGAGAGACTTGTTGTGCACAGAAACAATAATCAGGGTCCACCCACAAGTTGTATCCTGTTGCCCTCCCCTTACTTGACTGACCGCCTCAGAGAGAACTCTCCTTCATCCTGTGAACTAACTGTGACTTTTTTTTTTTACTTTCTCCTTTTCACATAGTCTGCTTTTCTTATCAGGTCTAATGTGGTGATATAATTCTTAAAAGAGACGATTCCCAGTAGAATCTGAAAACCATTATTAGATTGATAAAGAAGCACATGAGTGTGTGTGCTTTTATGTGACACACACACAAGCGCATACCACTATTCAAATTCGATATGTATCTAGATGTCTAGAACTCAGCTATAATAAAAAAAGTTCTGTATCCGCTTACCCGCTGACTTGTATCCCTGGTTCTTTTTCCTGCTCCCTGTTTTTGTGTCCGTCCTATTCTGAGGTTGTTTCCAGACTCTTCAGGAGGATTGGCTCTGTCCCGTACTGAGGATCAGAGGACGGGAGGATCCCAAAGCTTGGCCTTATTCAGACTGACAGCTGGGGTAATCAGGTTACTGACGCACTGGGTGGCTGCTCCATTTTAAAGAAAGGAGAGTCGGGATTCCTCCTTTTCTGTCTGTGTGTGTCTAAGAGTGTGGGTGCAGGAGACTGAGGTTACTGAGTTGAGCTGAGTTTGAAGTGTAGCAGAAAATTTAAGATGTTCCTCTGGATACTTCTCTGATTTTTCATCTGTAAATTCTGCCTGACCAGGAGCTTCACCTCTAATAGACTTTCATGCACATATTTTACAGTCACAACTCCAGGCTAGGCCAAAGTGGTAACACTTTCACATCAGCAAAACTGTTATTTTGATGCCAAAATCATTACATTACATTGATTTTCTCTAGTTTTCTGTGATATATTCGAAGGAAAATAGCCACTGATATAATTTACCAAACCATGAATGCCATAAAGTGTTTTTATTGTGTTCTTTGATTTGGATATATATGGGAAATATATGGGGGATCTGCAGAGAGAGAGAAATAGGAAATGAAGATATGGGAAGAATGTAGAAAAGATCTCACACACTCTGTGCTATTCATGACTCCTCTCAAAGGGATTTGATGCTGACAAAAGGGTCTCTTGTGAGGCATCCTTAGTATTCACAGGCAACCGTAGCCTCTGTGCCCTGTGCCCTCAATCAGCCAAGCTCTTTGCATGCTCACCTCTTCCCTATGGGCAGCGCTTGTATGTGCATGACAGAAAAGATAACATCCTTCGCTCGCCAAGGAGGGTTCACACAGCCACACACTGCTTAGCTGGCACTAACAAAAGCCACATCTAATGAAGCACGTTGAATTGCACATCTAATGATCTCTATGACTGTGATGAGGATGAAACAGTTATCCACATCTTCTGTGCCATTTTAAACAATAGAGGCTCCGGAATACAACATGTTTCAAGATAATGATGTCTTCACGGCATATTAGAGCGACTAAAATAAAACATGCATCCCCTCCTTCTGCTGGCTGGCTGCTGAGCCTCGGGCTAAAGACAGTGGTGACTCATGAACACTCTTCTCAAACAAAGACATGCACACTGTGCAAGTCACAGAGAGACAGAGCGTACAGTAAACACACACACACACACTGGAGTGCAATGTTTTCATGTGCACAGTGTTTGTGTCTGTGCGTATGGGTTGTTTGCTCTTAAATTGTCTGTGTTCCCTGACACACGGATGACTTTTCAGGATTCTTGTGAGTGTTTGTGATGTTCTTTCCACCTGCTGTATGTGTACCCAGGTCCACGGTTGACATTTTTAATAACACTGCGCAAGTTTTCAAACCACTTTTCTCACCACTCCAGCCTATAAATCATTATCCTTCTCTGCAATTTGGTGCCCTGCAGCTCCCACTTGATCAGGTGGCATTACGGAGAAAGAGAATGAGGCCACTGGGTAAAGATCTAATAAAGTTAATCAACCTAGGAAGCTATTACCTTCAGATGGGCTGTTTGGCTTCAAAACAAATCTGCAAATAGGCAACAAAACTCCATATGAGCCTCTCATGAACAACATAAAATGTGCTGTACAATTCTCTGTTTGTCTGGGAATCTACAGACCTAAATCACAGTCATATGCTTTATTCTCTAAAATCCCATAGTACTTTGTTTGGCTTGTGTTTTTCTCCTTGGAGGATTCAAGAGGACATTAACCCGAGAGTCACAAACAAGAATGCTCTGATGCTAACCTTTAAGGTCATCTGTTCCCCAAGGCAGCAGGGATGCCATTCATCCAAACTTTCATTTCAGAGCCCCGAAATGTGTGAATTCACACTGGTTATGGATTGGATAAGCAGAAAAAAATAATAATGTACTAGATCAAGTTATGCTTTGAAGACAAAAAAAAGGTCATTCACAGGCCAACATAATATACAGCATATAGACTTTTGAAATAACCCCCAAACAAATTCAATATACAGGCAGTAAAAACTAGTAAAAACAAGTTATTTTTACATTATTTTGGAGCTATCAGGCACAGGTGTTTCACTTTGAAATGACATTCTTCAAATATTACTTCATTGTAAAAAGATGTTTCAAAGTCGAGGGATGAAATAAATCACTACAACAGAGTCAACAGCAAAACTACCTGCTGGTGGCTCAGAATGGCTAAAGATGTGGATCCTGTGAAAGTTTTCCAACAGACACGAGCAGAGCTGACCCCTCAGCAGGGAAATGTGAGGGCAAGTGTGCATGGCTGAGTGAAGACGTAGGGCCGGATATCCATCAGTGTTAGAGAGGGGGAGCGAGACAGAGACACTGGAGGGTAGAGATACAATCTTTTCTCAGCCTCTAACTGGGTTTAGTTGGTAATCTAGCTGGGTTATTTTGTGAATTTCCTCAAATACCCTCTTATCAGCATCTGCAACATGTGCAGGTTATGGGAAAATGGACATAAGGTTCCCCACCATGAAAACATCTGGCAATTCTCTGCTTGTGTACAGTGGCTCACTGGTATTTTAACCATGCTTGTGGCATGGCTCTGGCAATGTTGGTCGATTGGTTTTAGTTAGATATCTCAACAACTGTTTTGCTTTGAATTTTGGTACAGCATTCATGGTTTCCAGACGATTCATCCTGATGACTCGGATCTCCTGACATTTATCAGCAGGTTAAGGTTTTCACTTATTCGTGGAATTAACTGAATGACTCTGAGATGGATAGGCACAAAATTTTATACAGACATTCATATTCCTGAAATGAGGAATTCTAATGACTATGATAATCACCTGTGCCTACTGAAAGTACAGCCTCGAAGAGCTGCTAACATGCTGTATGTTTAGTTGCAATTGTCCCATGAAAGGAGGGATGGAAATCTGAATCTGAAGGCTCAAAGAAAAGGTGATTGCAGGCAGATGCCTTTGAACAAGATGCATTGTTGTGACCATGAGAGAGAGAGAGAGCAATCAATCATGAGCGGGACATTCCAGCATTGCTGCCATAAATTCTCAAGTTCAAAAACTGGTTATCAGTGATGTTATTACAGCATTTATACTGCATCCTTTCCAAAATGAAAATATTTTTTGGTCTGGGGTGATAAGGGATTGCTCATTCTTTTCTATCACGCTGCGTGGCATGATGTGCCACAACAACCGCTGCCGGCCACATAAGGATGAAGATACATCTATCAGATAAATTCAGCATGCTGGAAAGATCGGAATCAAAATGCACCCGTGGAAACCAACTGTAGTTCCTTCATTTGTATGTAAGATGACAAATAATAGATATTCTGTGTGTTCACCTGCATGTGTATTCATGTATGCATACATGCACGTGTGTGTGCACATGTATGCGTATGTATGCATGGAGGGGTAAATGTTTGTGTTGGAGCCAGAGTCACGCAGAGCTTCCTGTGTTAGGTTAATGCTCTCTGTGCTGCTCTCAGTGCGAACAATGGGCACAGCTCCATGTTTCTGAATTTCCCATCAGGGGGGTGATGATGACAATGGCCACTGACAGATTAAACACATTCCCTGCTTTATTGCAGTTGGCTCAGAAAATGATGGTAAAAAAAACACCAACACTTTTTCAATTTAATCTACTAACCAGCAACCCACTGCGTCGTATCAAAGGTGCATCGGGAGAAAATGAAGGAGGGGATTCAGAGGGAAGAGAGGACAAAGGGAATAAGTGAAGACGCAGTGAGCCACAGAGGGATGAGAAGGCAGGTAAATGGTCGGACACAGCTCCCCCCTAATCTGACGTCAAAGTGTGGGGGAGCAGGTTTCAGAAGCTATTCAACCATCCGACAAGCACTTCTGATGGAGTACTCGGGCTCCTTAATTAATCAACAGATAATGCTGACGGTTCACAGCCAGGTCACTTTCAATGTAACACCACATTAATAGCTGCCCTTGACAAGCTCCATATCCAGAGAGTACTGGAGATGTATGTTTTAATGATAGTAATGATATTGGCAGTCATGAATCAATCAGACATGCTCAATATATTCAGCTGAGAGTCAAGAAATTTATTCTCAAGGAAGTTATATAGTGTAAGACAATCCACTTTCATTATTAGACGGCTCACACAGCACTTTAAGATAGATTAAGAACACACATTGAGAATAAAGACATTAATCACTTTTGATAGTTGAGGGAAAATCCATTTATAAAGGAAGAGTTTGCACAGTGCAAAATACTATAGGAATGTCTATTCTGCTGTCACGTTGCATTTCTTGTTTCACAAACCCTGCCTACTGTCTCAAATCTCTTCAAAAAGTCATTATTTTATGTGCAAAAGTTTATTGGCTCAATCTGCCCTCATCTTTAGATACACAGTGCTTAGCCAAAGGCTTTTAGCCTTTTTAACTTTTGAACATCAAAGAATTTTAGAGAGTACGAATCTTTCCCGTCCTTAAAAATAGACTCTGTGACTATATTGAGCACATTTTTAGAAGCAACTTTACTTGTTGCTGGAGTAAAAGGCAAGATAGCACTCTATTCAGTCCTAGCTTTCTGTCATGAC